GTGCATTCATCCAGGCTTGAATGTATAAATTAGCTAAAAAAATACATATATCACTTATCCCTGTGATATTGTTACTATCCAATAAAAATTCTTGCCTGAATAAATACATTTTTAATACGTAAATTGCTTTAGCCATCCATCTAGCATGATGAAACGCTCCAGGAACATGAAAAGTATTTCCTCGTGGAAGAGATCCGCCAAGAAAAATTATCATCAACTTCAAAAGTTCTTTGTAATTATCTCTCGGCTGCTTTTGTCGTAAATGGTACAAGCAAAAATTTATTTTTTCTTCTACATCCTGAATCTTTCCATAAACATAAGAATCTTGTATACATGTTTTAAAATTTGATAAATTAATCTTAGGCCAAGCTTTTCGAAATTTTTTAAAAAGCGGTACTTCTTACCTAATCAGGTAAAGCTCGGTAATATTCGCCACTGCCGGGAATCTTTTTGTATATCTACCATGCAGAGCATGGTATACATTTATGTATACCATTTTTCTAATACCGAAGTATTTATTTCATTTTACATAAGATCTCTAATGGCTAACTGAATAGGAGATTAGTTTTTGTATTCGAGATGACCTCTTCAACAACTACAGAATGAGATTCATACTAACATTAGCGGTAAGATTCATTAATTTTTAGTATATTGTTTAAAATATACCAACACTAAAATTATATATATAAAAAATGATATTTTCATTATAAAATATCCACTGATACTTATAAAATAAAAGACCACTAACATATTCGACGATAACCTGAAATCGTGCAAATTTCAACTCGATTGCGGCACGGGTTCCTGTTATCCAATCATGCTGAAACTTTGACATTATCATTTTTTCATCAAGTGTCACAATTTTAGGGGATGAGACCAAAAAAAATCGGAAGTCGAAAAATAAGGGTCACCCTAATGTACATTCAACTGGAAAAGTGATGTACTCATTATGTACTTAGCACTTGTGGGTTATCAGGATACAATAATGTACTTCAATATAGTATGTACAATTGATATACATATATCCTCCACAATATCGATTCGCTTGTTTAAAGAATATCCGTAGTATAACACATCTGACAGTAAGTATACTATATTCTGATATGGCATCTGTTTATAATTGTAACATATTTCTAATCATATATGTATATTAATAGTTTTATGGAAGAATGTACATGTGATAATGGTATTACATTGAAATATAGTAAATTTAAAAACAGAAGAAACCAATGGTATAATAACTATGCCACATACGTATATGTAAGTGTCCCAATAACTCACAAGTACTAAGAATTTATGTGAATAATACTCCTTCAGAAAATTAGTGTTTTCATACTCTAAATGTAACTCATAAAAAATATATCATATAACACTGAAATGTATTTAATATTCATTAAACATTTCTTGAATACTTGAGCTAGATTTCCAATTTTACTTAACAATATTTACAGAACTAAATTTATGTTTAACGGACTCTACACTATAATAATAATGAAATACATAGCACAAAGGTCCAAGCTCAGTGTTTTTAAAATTACTACAATTTACTAGATTTTTAAATACACTGGGCCCAGCTCTTTTAGTCAGACAAACGACAAATTAAAAAAAAAAATTGTAGCTCTAGTGAAATTGTTTTCTCAAAATTTTTCCTGCAATGAATTTCATATTTATAGACAGAAATGTATTGTTTTTACATTTTGTTTTGGTGGATTCCTAGTCAAATGGAACCCCAGGCTTCAGTCTACTCTGTCTAATTGTAAATCTAGTAGATATTTAGTTACTGTATATTATAATTATTAAGCGTGCACATTACCTACTTAAAGTAAGGAACACATTTGTATTTTTTCTGCCTTAAAAGAAACGTCCAGTTAAAGTTCAGATTATCTAGCCAATTTTTATATTAACAGAATTTGCCGGATTCATAGTAACATGTATATACAATTTACAATAATTAGCGAAGTTGTGATGAATTTGTTGAAATTAGTTATATATAGAAAAAATAAATATGTATTTATACATTTATACAAAGATTTTTTTCAATAAAATCTTTAGTCGTTAATTATATTGTAGCAGTTTCTAAATATAAAATCAAAAATATAATAATAAATACATCATGAAATAGTGTTTCACTTAGTTCCTAACATGACCCTGGAATTGTAGCAGCACAACTTCGTAAGTGGTAATTGCACCTGCCACCTGAAAAAACAATCATTTTAACAATATTTGTCAAACAGCTAAAAATGAATTAATGTAACAGAGATGTCAATTTACTGCAAGCATGAAGTTTCTTGTGATTGAGAAGAAACGTAATCCTGTTAACGCTACATCATCTGAGGTGAGTTGATATTGCAGTCTCTGTGTCTGTAAAAATATTTGTTTTTACATTACTTGATAAGAAAATTATAAGTTCAATAATCTGTTCATACTTATATAATAAAAGTACATTACTGAAAAAATTGTTTACATTACTTGAATACTACTGAAACATTATCAAACTTTGAAATCTCCTTTCTAATCCTTTAATTTTATTGAATTTAGATACAAATTTATACACAAAAGACAATGTAATAAAAATTGATAAAGCTAAAGTTGAATGTTTGCTTCTGAAGATTATGCTATATAGTGTGTGTTAAAAGTCAAATAAATAAATTAATACGTTCGGCTAAAAGTTTCAGGGTGGCCAACCTGCGGCTCGCGAGCCACATGCGGCTCTTTGAAGGATTATTTGTGGCTCTCGATAAATGTACCTAAGTTCCCTTTTCATTTTTGTGCTATTATATTTTACAAAATTATTATCGTTCTTGGCCATAGAAATGTATGTTCCGTATTACGACGACTGGTACCGCGGCGAACTTATACCTGCCCGCTGGACCTTCCCTGGCTACCGATGGAACAACAAACACCCGATATTGTTCAATTGTTAAAAACGTGACAAATTATTGCATAAAAATGGCTCACCCTCTTCAAAAACAAATCTCAATTCATTTTCAAGTTAAGAATAATATGACTCATCGAAAACTGCGCCATCGAAAATTGCGGCTCGCGAAACATTTCAAACTTTGAAAATTGGCTTGGACTATCAAGGAACTTGGCCACCCCTGCTATATAGTGTGCAGAAAAAAGTCGAACTGCATTTAGGGTGAAAAATTGAAAGAAAAGTCCAATTTTGTAATATATTATTTAAATAAATAATTTCTCCCGAAATTTTTGTCATTAACTGAATTCCTGACTAAAAACTACACAATTTAAAAAAAAATTCACCTTCCTACACCCTCTACTTTCCGAGATATTAAAGAAAATGTGTTTTCAACAGCGAACTTTGAGGGCTATTTTCACCCCCTCAACATGCATGTCCGCAGATATAAAAAAATACGTGTCAAATGATTTTTAAAAAGCTACCACATATGTCAATTTCATTAAAATCCGCGTGTGACACCTTGTTGATGTCCCTTGTCAGTTCATAAATTGCTGGTAGTGATTTCCATGTTGCTGTGTACATAATTGTGCTCTTCTAAATAAATTCCTATTGGTTGTTCTAGCAGTTGCGGGACACCCTGTACATGTATATTTCAATGAAACCTTAAACATCAATCTGATGTATTATAAATGTATCTTCTTGTTTTTTTCGATCTCTTTTTGTATCACTTTTTTCAGAATTTCTATGATTCAGAATCCGTCTTCATTAGCTGTAAGTAGCAGTCAGCCATTTTAGAAAAAATCAATAAAGGTTTTATGTGGGCATTTTCATTAAACTTTCAAACTTCAAATCGATGTCACGTAGAATCCATTTTTCAGCAATCTTGTATTATCGAATCGTGTCAAATATTTTGCTCTTAGAAATTAGGGGAATAATTTAATGCAATCCAATAGTTCTATCTAAAAAAACGTGAACCGGGTCGTCATATTTCAACATTTAAAGGAATAAAAGGAAAGCTATTACGGAAACTTAACATGAACACCCTCTGTATTCTTGTTCCATTTCTCATCTCTCTTTAACAATCGTTATAATATCATTCAAAAGTTTAAAAATAGGTTTCACAGTATTATGAACAGTATTTGTGTTGTACTCTTCCAGTTTTCGATGTACTTGATCGTAGAAGCGTTGATACCATAAAAAGATAAAAAAGAAGAGAAACAAACTTTTAATTAAATACTCAGATAATTGATTTCGTAATCAACAGACGAGAGCACATTATTATTAGCCGTTGGAATACCCTACGACTTCAATCGGTACTAATGAAGAACGTACCAATTATTTTCGGTTTTGAGTTTTCTCTGAAGAATGATAACAAAGAGACATACAATACAACGATAAATCAATGATTTGTACACTCTGTGGTAAAGAAAGCTATTGAGAGATAAGATTACCGAATGATATACAACAAAATTATGTTGGAAAATTATAGATTATCGAAATAAAATATTGGTGAAATGAACACAATGATAATGAGTAACAATAATTATTAATATAAGCTTTCTAACAAAGAACCTACTCTTTTTTAAAGAAATTAAACATATGATGTATTCATGGGAAAAATATTAAAAAATACTAACCGATCTTTTGTATGTATAATGAACTAACACAAAATGTATAATGTACTAACACTTTATATGTATGCATATTTTATTAAATTAAACTAATAGGATTACCTAATAAACTGTGTTAAAAATAAATCTCAAAGATTAGATACCGAAGCTGTGTAGAGGACCTTGGTGATGTCCCTTGTAAGGCCTGGATCGCGTTACATTTCCCGGCGAACGAACCTCGGGCGTCTCGAAGGGTCTTTCCCCCAGTGGTGGGGACAACATTTTTACTTATATCGTAAAGGACATTTTTGCGTATATAGAATGATTACTGTATTAATATTTCGAATTTCCTTGAATTTCCCTTCTTCTGAGATCGCAGCAACATGAATCGGGCAAGCTAATAAACTATAAACAGTACCGCCGTCAAAAATTTGCAAAACTCAAGGCAAAACTATGCGCTGAACATTTCTAGAAACGAAAAAATTGTGTTTGATTAATTTTTATTTCAAAATTAAGCATTAAGTGTCAACAATAATCAATATGTAATTTTTGTAGCTGTGATAACTGAAAAAGCAGCGAAATTGTCTAATTGAAAATTAGTATATCCACGGTATCTCTGAAACTATTAAAAATAAAAATATATTTGAAAACAAATAATAGTATAAGTTTTAATGCAAAATAATGTGTATTACCTAAGTTTCCGTATTTTAAAGAATTTCATGATTGTAATTTTTTATATCGGAATAGCTATTCCCGTTATAAAATACAATATAGTTTTGCCATTTAGAATATATTTTTATCTATTTAATATTTTTAAAACAATCATTTGTTAAAAGATGATTTCAACCATTACGAGAAAATTCTGTTTTTTTAATGTCTAGGTCTAGATATACAAAATTTTACGTTGATATCCATAAAATTTCCAAATTCGAAAACAATGTCGAATTGCGGTTGTATATAAGAATGGTATAAAGGCAAAAAGAATGACGTCAATTAATGAAGATTTATCTTTGACAGAGTTATTTGAAAAATGTTTAGATGACAGAACTCAAAATTGGAGAACAATTGGAGTTGCAATTCAATATTTCGGTAATTAGCACGCAATAATAGTTGAATTTCTATGTTTCATAGTAATAGCCATTTTTAATGAAGGCCGCAATACAATTCATAAAATTGTAAATATTATTGGTATTATCATTGATTGATAATGTAGAATTTTCGCGATAACTTGGGAGCAATTATGGTTGAATATATCGACGAAATATTCTAAGAAATCTGCTATAAGTAAGAAACAGCGATATTATGCATTAGAATAGCACATAAATTGTAAATATACTTAATATTCATTGAATAATTGCACTATGAACTTCAAAAACACTTTGCACAGTTAATTGATAAAAAAGAAAATATTGAGCCGATAAATTTTAATGGTATGTTAAAAAGGTATACTTTTAGCGATTACCCTATAAGCAACACGATAAGTAGTGTACTATTTTTAATTATTAAAAAATAGGGAAATTAATTGAATTAAGTTGAATATTTGAATTTGTACTATTTAGCAAAAAATAATTTTCTAAAATAAAATTTCACTAGAATTTTTAGTTTCATATAGATTGGAGGGCAGATATTTCAACCGACAATGAAACTATTTCGTGAAACGTTTTAGTTCATGAATTGGTCAGTTGTATTTTTAAGTAAATAGAGTTTCTGCTTAGAGTTCATAATTTCATACTTTTTCTTATAAAAGATGCTGAAATGAATCGCTTTTTTTACATTAAAATATGAGAAATTCTTTGCTGAAAATTCAGTTATCAGGGCTACAAAAATACGTATCGATTATTACTGACTATTCTACAAGCATGGCAAATATCGCGAAAAATCATACTCTTCACAGCGCTTTTTTGCACAATAGAAACATATTAAAAGAATATTAATAAATTCATGTATTCACGTAGTGCTAAAATTTCTTGACAGCAATAAAGGATAAAACAATGAAGCAATAAAATAAAAAACTTATTCTTTATAACATTTTAATTTTATCAATGACAACTATTAACTGTCATACTTTCGGTACTAGTATAGTATACTTGTTCATATTTAAAGTTGATAAATACTTAATACTAAAAATTATCCAGGTCTAGAAAGAAAAAAGATAAAAATAGCGGAAGAATTTATAAATTTAGGGTACATCTTAAAACAAAGTTTTGGAGATGTAAGAACAAATATAAGAGACGATTAAAAGGGCAACAGTGACAATGGAACAGGTTTGAAGAACAGGTAAACTAAAATTGAATGAAGCATACATAAGAAAATTACCATTATTTAGTGTTTTGGTAAAAAACATAATAGTATACGGAACGGAGATCTAAAGTTAGAAGAAGAAAACAACTTGAAAGCATTATAGGATAAACGCTTAAAATAAACCTTCAGATTAGGCTGGAATACTCTAATATACATAGTACAGAAAAAAATGAAACAAGACATAGTAAAGATCGTGACAAATGAACAATAAAAGGGTCTCGGCGCATAAGATACACTTTTTGGCCCCGGAAAAAACTTCAGAAAAACCATATGGATCGTGCAGCCTGCTTCGAGTAGACTACGCGTACCCATGTTTGGTGTTCCAAATCACCGTCGTCGCTCCAGAAGAGGAGGAAATGTCTCCCGAGCGGTCGAAGTACATCGGACATACGGCGACTTGAAATGCTCATATCTCACCCGCGTTTAGGGCTACAGAGCTAATCGAGTGTTCTTTGGAAAGCTGGAGAAACGTACTTTCTGATACGCGTATCAAGTACTAAGAAAGTAGCGATGAAGATGCTACCGAGTGGAGGAACTGAAATTCATTGATTGCACACAAATGCATTCGACGGACCACTCTAGCTACACGCTCAATGTGTGCCCCCTTTCGAGGCGAACAAAATGCGATATCCCAATCGAAAATCCATTGGAGGCCCGATACTTTAATTTCGAAAAAACTGTAGGTGGTCGCACCCGATTTTACACATTTCGCACACCTACCTCCATATAAACATGAGAAAGCCGTTCTGAAAGCACTTAAGCCTCGCTGTCACTCCCTTCTGCTTCCGTTTCTTCTCCGGATGGTACGAAGAGCTCCGTTAACTGTGCAGCCGGGCGCAGGATCTGCGGGAGGCACCGAACATGGGCCAAGTAGAAGATGGCAGCGGCCACATGTGAGCAGCAGCCTACTGTCCGGTTTCCATTCGGGCACTCACACCAATATCACCGAATTCCTTCAACCTGGTCCATTTTCGGTTCGTAATGAATATAGTGCCGGTAAGTTTTTGCGTTCACGTGTCGCGACTTGATTTCTAGACGGACGATGTTCGGTGTTTCTTTTACGAACATCATGAAGACATTGTTGGTGTCGATTTGATATGGGCCCAAGGTCAATAGGAGTAAGTGGTCTCGAGTCAGTTTCGGGAAATCGGTCAGGGTGGTGGCCGAAGTCCGTTGCAGAAGTGTGCTTCTGTGCTGTATTGTCGAGGGTATGGTGCAGCATTTTATACCGTTGAACGACGCGATCATGCAGAGCTTCAACGATCCAACGGAGCTTCGTAACCGGTCGAGAGAAGTTGGCCTCTTCGCAAGGAAGCTGCTTCCTGTTGCCTTTCATTGCTGGCATGACGACTTTATAACCCAAGTTCTCCATATAGTCTACAGCGTCGCGGAATCCGCGATCGACGATCAGCACATCGTTCGGCTTCAGTAGCTGCAAGAGGTCGTCATTTTTCAGCACTTCCTTCACGATCGTAGCATCATTCCAAGTTCCGAGGAACGGCCCGGCGAAGTCAACGATAAATCCATTGGTGGTGCAGATGGTGAAAGGTTTGCACAGAGGAACTTTCTTCTGGTCGAAGTAATAGCGCCTTTGATAAGCGTTGTTGGTGCTTTTTTGATGGCGTATGTATGTTCCATCTAGG